GCCAAGCCGCAGGCAGAAGCCAACAGCGCCGCGCGCGCAGACAACGCCGCGCGCGCAGACCGTGATGCCAAAGACACTGCTGCTGACAACGGACCTGCTGCTGCCTTATAGAAAACTAAGTCATTTTCATTGTAAATATAGAGTAGTTTTATTTCATGTACTTCCATTATGTTTCTCTAGCTTAGTCCAGTCTAGTCTTGTAACTTTGGATTATTTTTTTTAAGTACTATTAGGGGGGATCAAGCAATCAAAACTTTCTAGCAAGCAAGCAATTCTCTGTACTGGTGTCTCTCCCCCTCGACACCGCGTTGCTTTTCTGTAATAGCTTTCATTAATGCAATCAAGCTTTCTTTCATTCTGAATTCTCACTTCTGTTCTCTCAATTGCTCTTGACATTGGTTTTTCCGTACGGCACTGACAATCTCGTCTAGCGTACGGAGGGGACCTCAGTTGGCGGACAGCAACTGCACTGACATCAGTTGCCTAGCCTTACGTCGCCCTTCCAAGGAATCTCAGGAAGGCGCCACGTAACATAACATATGTTGTTCTATATCTCCATGAATCTACGAACTTTTGCTTGTATTGTATTATTTGGTCTACGTACCGGAACTGATAACGTTCGAGATTATGCAGGATTATACACAAAAGATCCTTTTTTGGCTATCTCTTTAGCCCTATGTCTCTTATCCCTAGGAGGTCTTCCTCAACTAGCAGGTTTTTTCGAAAAACTCTATTTATTCTGGTGTGGATGACAGGCAAGCCTATATTTCTTAATAAACGCAAAAACCATAAAAACAAATATTCAGAGGCTAAAGCCCCCGGAATTATGGGGAGCTCAATTTTTTTTCCAACTCCTACTTAATGTTTGTTATAATTTTAGGGCATTGGTTAATTCGAATTTGTACCATGTAAAGTCCATTAAAGTGGAACAGCTTTTTAGAAAGAATTTTTTTCATTTCAAATAATCGAACTGAATATCCCTGTTTAAAAAAGAGAGATCATATCCATCCCACCACAACTCTTCTGGTGAGGCCCCGAATTTTTTTAAGAAAATATTAAGTACTTCAACGTAGAAAAGTTAAATATTGAATTTCCTTTTTTTTTTCCAGGTTTTCATCATTGCAATAAGTATATTGAACATCAAAAAATTATTTTAATATAAAGTTACCAACTTCTTGAATCAGTTTTTATTACCTAAGATCAATAGTGTCACAAGAAAGATTAAATGGTTTATGCGACAAATTATAAAAATTATTATAAAAAAGCTAGAAAATTCTACTTCAGATTATTTTAAAAAAAAAATAAAACCTCCCATTAAAATTTGGCTTTAGGCTACCAAAGTTATAGAGCCGCCCCTGACAAATAATTCGGGTCGAAATTTATCACTTATTTGAAACTCTTTATTTCTCTTATTCATATGATCATATCTTATTCTATAATATGCACCAACTGCCACAAAACAGGGAGACTACCATTGATAATCATCCTTGAGAGAGAGAGAACATAAAATAAAAACAAGAATAATGGCGACCGATGACTGAAAGGTCTGCCGGACAAACATGGCCCAAACCCCTCATGTGATCATTCTGTACAAAATAAAAAATAAAATTCCTTGATTGTTGAGCGTTGAACTTAGAATTTCCCCTCGGAATTGTAATTTCCCCACCCCCCATTTAACTCTCCTTTTTGACTTCTATCACCCACTCCCATTTTTATATACTACTTTAACTTATTAATGTTATAATAACATGTGTACTGACTGCTATAGTAGCCTAACTAATCTACCAAAGCATATGCAGAAAAGAATAACGTACTGTGTCTGCTGTTTATTCTACTCTACGTATAGTTAAAAAAAAGGTGTGGTGTTACGATTTACGAAGCACCAAAAAGAGAGGTTTTAGGGTTTAGCTAGAAGAAGATAGGGCAAAAGTTTGATGATCTACTACTACTACTGTACGCAAAGTGCTTAACTTAGGGAACAATATCGATAACCACATTTTTGCTTTGTCGGAGGCTATTAAAAAAAGTAACACAGCCAAGTTAGAGCCCGTTTGGCTTAGCTGATTTAGAGTAGCTGATAAGCATTAGGTGCTGAAAAATACTTTTAAGTGCTGAAGCTGATTTAAAAAATAAACAGTTAAGTGTTTGGATAAAAGTGCTGAAATTAATAATATGCAGCTAAAGAACTAGGTATACGAAGAGTTTTGTTTTAAAAAGAAGTATTTTAGGGATAGAATAGTAAATATTTTGGTCAAACTTAAAGTGCTTATAAGCTGAAATTTGATAAGTTGGGGGAGACCAACTTATGGCTTTTAGCTTATTTTTGGCTTATAAGCACTTAACTTATAAGAATTTTTAAATTTTTCAAACGCGTAGATAAGCCAAAAAGTGCTTATAAGCCAGTTTGACCAGCTTATAAGCTTAGCCAAACACCCTCTTAGTCCTAAAGACAACTTATGACTCGTATCATTTCGTATAAATTTTTGAAATGGGAAATGGGTCAAATGTGTCCCAGTATAATCCATAATTAATTAAGCAACTTCTTCCCTTAAATCTTGATATAATCTTATCATGTCGTACAATAATTTTTACTTGACTCCTACCAGAGGTTCAACCTGATTTCTTAGTCAAAAATTAAGGGGTAAATATGATTATATTTTTTTT